GAAGAGAAAAATTGCAGAATTTGAAAAGTAATTTGATGGGATGGTATCGAAAAGTTATTCACATTAAGAGATAAGGGGTTATGCTGAAAACACATGGCTAAGAAAATAGCTACTACTTTAAGAGTATTTGCTAGATCCAAACATTTTCTTTGATTGCTTTTGTGGTCATGTAATAGCCTAACAAAAACTTAAAACATCTAGTCTGTATAATCCTTGGGTTCTGTATTCTCAAAATAATACTTACACAACAAAGAGATTAGATTTTAAACTAAGTACAAGATTGGACTTCATGCAAGCCTCGAACCCTATACACTGCAACTGTTATTGGGCTTTAAAGATTATCCCCAATATTACTTTAGACTGCTAAGTTTACTTACCACTAATTCTACTTATTTAGGCTTCAGAGTGACAGGAGTAACTAAGAGTAGCTGACATTTTTCCTTTCCATAAAAAATTGTCTTATTCCTACTGGAAAAACTTTTTTTTAAACTTTGCCAAAAAGGGTTTTGTTAAAGTTTACCAGGCTGGCCATGAAATCTAGAAACTCCTGCCTCAGTCTCCTGGGTAGCTGGAATTACAGACCCTTAACACTCCACCTGGTTTACCTTGCATTAATTTTTAAAAGGCTTCTGAACTTTGTTTGGGCTAGCATTTAGAGTCCAGGTGTTTCTGTTTTCCAATTGGAAAGCAAACACACAAAACCAAAGAAGTTATTCCACAATTTCAAAGTTTAGAAATCTCTAGAAAGCCGCTGACCCCCCCACCCCCACTTTTTTTTTTTGTCTTTTAGAGACAGGGTCTCCCTGTAACCCCAGCTGGCCTCTAAATCAAGAGATCTGCCTGCCTCTCTGCCAGCCTCTGCTCTGAGTGCTGGGATTAAAGGCATGCCGCCACCACACCCAGCTAGAAAGCCCATTTAAAAAAAAACAAACAACTTTTCATTCAAGAAAATATTCGGGATTGTGAAATACTAGATGTGCATTCTACTAGAACTAGAAATAACTCAAAACATTTAAAATTCGCAGGGGTGACAATTCTCAGGTGTCTGAAAATGGGGCCTGTTTTCCCTCAATTGCTTCCTTCCTTAACATGTACTAATTCTTTGGACACTTCTCACCATCTTAGCAAGCCATCCTTAATTTCTCATTTCCTATCAGAAACCAGTCATTCCGAACGTCCTGAATGGTACACAAGCACATAACAGGGACAACTAATTTCAATACCACCCATGCAACTTCTGGAGACAGGAGGATATAAATTTCAAGGTACCTGTGGGTTAAGGGAGTGGAGAGTGAAACCTGTCTCAAGAGGAATTTTTCTTAAAGTTGGGTAAAGAAAGGTTTGCCAGTCACATGAGGCCCTCCCTAAGTTCCATCTGCTGTACCAGAACAAAAATATCCCTGCCAGTGATTGATTCATTAGGAAAGCAACAGCCTTATTAAAAACAAAGGGGCTGGAGAGATGGCTCAGCGGTTAAGAACACTGGTTGTTCTTGTAGAAACACCGGGTTCGAATCCCAGCACCTACGTTACAGCTAACAACTGTCAAAACTCCAGTTCCAGGGGAACCGACAGCCTCTTCTGACCTCCGCCGGCATTGCACAACAGCGGTGTACTTACCTACATGCAGGCAATACAATACACATAAAATAAAAATAATAAAATATTTTAAAAAATAAAAAAAGCCTGTGGGGCGTGGCCCACGCCTTAAATCCCAGCACTCAGGAGGCAGAGAGGCAGGCGATCTCTGGTGAACAGTTCCAGGCCCGCTGCAGGTGGTGAGGAGACCGCGAGTGCCGGCTGGGGCGGTCTGGACCGCGGGGTGGCCGTGGAGTCCCCAGGACCCGAAGAGGATCCGACGTTTCAGCGCGGATGTCGGTGCTCTGGACGCAGCTTCCTGCGGCCCTGGGAGCTGGGACCTCGGGTCCGAGGAGCGGCCGGACCGCAGGAGCTGGGAGGAGTCTGGGCGGGCGGAGGGCTCGGCCCGCTGCCCTGTGGGAACTGGCCTGGTCCAGGGCAGAGCAAACGGGCAGGAACACGAGCCAGAGTGGCCGCGGTGTCCGTATCTGGGCTCCTGGCCGAGTTTCCCACGGCAGACTGCTGTGTCCTGCACTTTGGAAGGCCCCTGGGTTATCAGTGCTGTCCCTGCTGGAGGAAGGTGGAAACACATCATTGCATGTTCCTAAGTGCCTGCTTTCCGGTGTTTTCACACATGTGCAGACCCTGTTGAGCTGAAGCCTGTTGAAAACGCCTTGTAAGAACCGCTGGAGTTAGACCTCCAGGCCAGGCCCAGTGTCCTGACCCTCTGCGCGCCTGGCCTAGCCCAGCATTTTGCTCCGGTTTTGTTTTTGCTTTTTTTTTTTTTTCCTGGAGGAGTTGTTCCTGCAAATAATAAGCTGTGCATCTTCATGATTGATGCAGAATGGACAGAGTGTTTAGAGACCAGCTGAGCAGGAACTCCACAGGAGTGGCAGGTTTTGTCTACTCAAAATATTTCTGTGTACCATTAAGTTAGAAACTAATTTCCTTAGGGCAATTTTAAATTTACTAAATTGAGAGGAAAATGGGGAGATGTCCCATAAAGTCTCACCTCACCCACGTGGAGATTCCTGTGTTATCAACTCGCCCCCCCCCCACGCCCCAGAGTGCTTTATGCCACAATTGATGAGCCCAGATTGGCACCTGGAGTTCATAGTTTACATTAAATTCATTCTTGATGCCAAACGTTCTGTGGTTTGGATATATGTATAATGACATGTGGCCACCATTGCAGTGTTGTGCAACTAATTTTCATTGTCATAAGCCTTCCCTGCTCTGCCTGTTCGTCCTTCTCTGTCCCAGCCCCTTACACCATTGGTCCTTTTTTGTATCCATTGTTTTGCTTATCCAGAATGTCACATAGTTGTAACCTGTAGGTATGTAGTCTGTTCTTTTTTCACTTGGGGAGGGGGGAGGGGGTCTCATTTTGTAGCCCTGGCTGGCCTGGAACTCACGACATAGAAAAGACTGGTCTCAAACTTAAAGAGATCTTTTGCTGGAGAAGCCTGAGGCCCCAGATCCCCTGGAGCTGGAGTTACAGTTGTGGTTATGCCTCCACTTTTCTGGTACTGGGGTGGAACCCGGAGCTCTTGTTGCTAGGCGAGTGCTTTACCACTGTATTACACATTCATCCCCTGTGTCTCTTGTTGACTGCATCAGAAGGATCTTAATTTTGATTGTGATGATAAAATTTTGTTTTGTGATATTTATTTAGTTTTGTTGTTTTAGATATTTAATATGAAATCACAATGTAGAGTCAAAGTTTATGTTAACTTGTGTGTGTGCATGTTTATGAGTGTGCAGGTGTACATACATTAGACAGTGTGCATACACATGCATAGACCTGTGTGGAGGCCAGAGGACACCTGAGGTGTCATTCCTTGGTGCCATCGACCTTTCTGTTTGTTTTGTTTCTGAGACAGGATTGCTCACTGACCTGGAACTCAGGAAGTGGATTAGGGTGGCTGAGCAGCAGGCTCCAGGGATCTGCCTATGTCCACCTCCACAGTGCTGGGACTAGAAACACTTGCCACCATGCCTGCCTTTGGTTTTACATGATCTTGCTTTACCATGAGAGATATCCCAGCCCCATTCATATTAGTGTAAATGTTATTATGGGGCTAAGGGTGTAGGTGTTAGAGTATGTAAGCATTTGGGTGCACAAGACCCTGGGCTCAATTCCTTGCACCATGAAAAGACAAAGTTGTTTAGAATCCAAGATGTGTCTAAATAAAAATAACACATGTGGCATGGTGTCTGACCCTGTAATCCCAGCAGTTGGGAGGCAGATATAGGAAGGTAAGGAGTTCAAGGCCAGCCTGGGCTACATGGTTAGAGTTGTTCCAAAAGGAAAACAGGACCAGCAAAATGGTAGGTAAAGGTGCTTGCCACCAAGCCTGACAACCTGACTTTCATCTTAGGAATCCCCACGGTGGAAGGAAAGAACCAGATCCCCCAAGTTGTCCTCTGGACACACACACACACACACACACACACACACACACGTAATTTCAAAATAAACAGAAACAATATCACAAAACTAGAAATGAAGCATCACATTGTGCCTTATAAAAATGTACAATTCTCAGGGGCTGGAGAGATGGCCCAAAGGTTAATAGCACTGGCCGAGGACCCCGGTTCAGTTCTCAGTACAGACTTGACACCTAACAACCCTCTGTTCCAGGGGATCAGTCACACTCTTCTGGCCTCTGTGGGCATTGCACAACACAGAGCACTTACATACATGCAGGCAAACACTCATACACATAAAATAAAAATAAATCACAAAAAATGTTAATGTACAATTCTCCCAGGCATGGTGGCACACACGTTTAGTCCCAGAAATCTGCAGGCAGTGGCAGGTGGATCTCTGTGAGATCGAGGCCAACCTGACTACATAGTGTGTTCCAGGCCACCTGTGGGTACAGCTAGTCTCTGTCTCAGAAAAATAAAAAGACAAAACCAAAAAGTACAGTGCTATATATCAGTAAAAGAAGGAATTTAGCCGATCATGTTAGTAAATCCCTAATTTCAGCACTTAAGAAGCAGAAGCATGACTATTGAGAATTTGTGACCAGCCTGGACTAAAGTAAGACCCTGTGTCAAAATGAATAATTTAGGGCTAGGTGTGGTGTTACATGCCAGTAATCCTAGAACTTTGGAGGATAAAACAGGATGATTGTGTTTGAAGGTAACCTGGGCTATAAGAGGAGACCTTCCAGCAATCAAGCTGGAACTGACCTTGAAGCCTCCTTCCTGAAGACTAGCTCTCATAGTTTTAGGGGATACTGTGCAAGCTGCTGAAGGAGAAAATCCATCAGTGGTCCAGCCCCAGCTTTAAAGCTTAATAACAACAACAATGACCTGCACAGCTAACTCTATTGGTGCAGCAGTGACATTTTCATTTTGTGGGGCATCACCAGCTTCTAATTGGTCTTAAAGCCAGCTGAATGGGAGGGAATTCAATTTGTGACACTGTAAACAGAGCCAAAGACACATGGCTGGAGAGGTCATAGATCCTGGAGAAAACCCTCCTTCTGTCACATCCCTAGACAAGTGTGATTTCTTACTCTATGCTAAATACGGACCAGTGTACCAGTCATCCCTTATCAAAGCAGCTTCTTTTTGCAACAGGTGGGACCATTACAGGTTTCTACAACTGGTCACAAAGAATGAATGTTTGAGATGCCCACCTCTAAGTGACACATCTAGAATGGAATCTGTGCTCCTCAGATCAAAGAAATAGTGGAACGTGGTAGAGAGCATACCAATACATTTCTCACCTCTCACCCGTGAGGTATTCCTCATGCAACAAAGGGCGTTGAACACAAAAGGTCACAATGGGCTGGAGTGCAGAGAATAAGAGACTGCAGAGTATTTGTCCCTGGATAGGACTCTTATATTAAACCTCACTCACCCAGGGCTCAGCAACTATTGCAGAAGAAGGGTGGAAAGACTGTAAGAGCCTGGGGTAGTGCATGACCTTAAGGAAGGAGAGTCTTCCAGGCTTTTGGGAACTTCCTAATATGAACTTAAAGCAATGGTGACAGCATGCAAAAGGTGCGTGCAAACTCAATCTGAGAAAAACCCAGCATAGAACTGAGGAAATGGGCAGGAGGCCCCAGCCATAGCTGAGGGACTTTTGGCAACTGATCCCTGCCTGGTGAGGGAGAGTTGATCTTATTTGGGTGATGCTCATAGCCTGAACAGGCTCCGGTGTCCCACACCAAGAGACATCTGGGCACACAACATTAAATCAGTAGGCCTTAGCACATATAACAGAATGCATGAAATCTGGTGGGCAGCATATGGGGATGTGCAGATATGGGAGGGGATCTAAATATTATTAACATGTATTGTGTGAAATGCACAAATATTCATTTAGAAATCTGCATCAGAGGACCAGAGAGGTGGCTCAGTCCTTAAGAGCACTGGCTACTCTTGCAGGGGACCCTGAGTTCAATTCCCAGCACCCACATGGTTGCTAACATCATCCAAAACTCCATTTCCAGGGAATTCGGACGGCCCCTTCTGACCTCTGTTGGCATTGCAGACATGGGTGTACCTATATGCTTGGAGGCAAAACATTCGTGTACATAAACTAAAAATAGTATTTTAAAATATGCATTGAAACAGTATTTGTATGAAGTAATTTGCCCTGTTCCTTACTGTTCCCAGCCTGGTGGTGTGTACTTACCTCGGATGTGCTTGTTTGGTTTGGTTTTGTTCTTTTTTTAGTGAGTAATTATTATAAATGAGCTTTAGATCTAACATATC